GGGCCCCCGCCGGGGGGGCTCACCTGGGGGAGGGCACGATGGAGAAGGGGGCGGGGCACTCTGGGAGGGCGGGGCCCACCTGGGGGAGGGCGGGGCCTGGGGGAATTTGCCGGGAGGAGGGACCCGTCGTCTTCCTGGTAGGTGTGTTTTGGGGTTGGGGGGCCGGCTGGGGGTCTTTACCTGCAGAGTCCGAGTCCCTGAGCAGTGCAGCGCGCTCTGCTCCCCTCGACGCAGCTCAGCCGCACTCATGGGACGCACCCTGTGGTCCGACGGGACGGAGAACGGGGCGGATGGTCCATCAAGTCTCCACTGAGCTCTTCCTCGCCCGGCCCCCTCCTAGCCAACCTACACCCACCTGAGCACCACCTGGATGGGCGTTTCCGGCTTCTCTGGCCCTTCTGGCCCCTGCTCCAGATTCCGCGCGGGGTCCCTGTGGAGCAACCCGAGTTAACCATCCGTGCGCCAGCAGCTCCTTGAACCTCCCTAAATCTGTACTTACCCGTCGGGGGACCCGCGTTCCTCCATGTCCTGCTTTGCACACGGAGTTAGCTCCGCCCGAGTCTCGTTCTTTTCCCTCCCCAGTACCCTCCCTTCTCCACCACACTGGGACTGGCTATACACACCTTAACATCTCCCACCCTCTTCCCCCTCTTCCCAGGCAGCCATCCATCCGGAAAGTCTGGGGCCTGCCCAGGGCTAGCTAGTTAAAGATTTACCCACCCCCACCTCTGTGGTGGAGAAAGTCTCTAGCTAGGGGGTTCTGGAGTCTGAGGATCACTTGCCCTTGGCCAGTCCCATCAGGAGGGATCACCCAGGCCAGTCTCCTCTGTGCACAGATGGGGATACCGAGGCTGGAATGGGAAAGACTCAGCCAAGGCCAAAAAACAAATCTGGGCAGAGCATGGACGGGGCTCTTCCTACTCTCTCCAGATACTCCTCCTCCAATTTTGTAATCTTCCTCCCACCTTCCCCCTCCCCAGCTGTTCCAGCTTCTTCCAGCTCAGAGCCCAGGGAAGGGAAGGGTCTAAAGGGGTGGGAGGGGCCCAGGTGTCGGCTCCAGGAAGATGTGGTTGGATTCAGTTCCTGAGCTGAGCTGACAACAGTCTCCCAAGCAGCTGGTTAAACATTGGGCCACCTGCCTCTCCAATGCCAAAGGTGATCCAAGAGCTGGGCAATTGTTTAACCCTCCCCTGGTCTGGCTAGGGAGAGCAACAGAGATGTCTGTGAATGTGCTGGGGTGGAGCAGTCACCCATTCAGTGCCAGTCTCCCTCCAGGCTGCGCACTGGGGCAGGGGAATTGCATACAGATCCTGCCCCTTCTGAACTCATAGTCTTGCTAGGGAGACAGGTAAGTGCAATCTAGTGTGCAGGGGCTTCGTGGTAGTGGGGGCGGTGGGGGTTAAGGATTCAGAGATCTGTAGGAGCAGGAAGGTATGAGAGATAGGTGGGGGTGTTCTAGGCAGAGAGGGCATCCTGCAGGAAGGCCAGAATGGGGTAAGGGCGATGTGGGCATTGAGAGGTGGTTTGAGGATGGACCCAGCTCACGAAGGGCACATCAAAGAATCTGGACTCACTCTTTAGAGGATCAGGAAACCATTGAAGGGTTATAAACAGGGAAGTGACACTATCCGTAGGTATTGATCGTTATTATTATTGCCATTCTGGCTGTCTCTGCATGTTTTTGGAATATTTCTGTAAACTCTTCCTTCGAACAAACTTTGATATGAAAGCTCTAATAATCACCCCCTCTTGATGTAACATGCTCTATACCACCAATAATGACAGCCAACTATCAGAGCCACTCAACTAGCAAGTGATTTTTCTTGGGTGGTAGTGAGTTCCTCATGCACTGGAGGCATGCAAGCAAGAGCCAGTTGACCTTTTGGTTTTATAGGGCCTTCTAGCCTGATCTGTAGAGAGTTATGTAGAGCAAAGAGCCACTGCCTCCAGCGCTGGCACTAACGTACCACAGAGCCCTGGGCAAGTCATTTCCCCTTTCTTAGACTTTTCCTTCCTATGAAAAGAGATGAATGGTCTGGCCCTTATTTTCTATAGTTCTGTGATTTCAATGAAACAGTGTAATTGAAAGCAATTCATATATTGTGAAGAATTATTTAAAAGCAAAAATAAAAATCCCTAGCTGAACTCTAAGATTTTTTCAACTCAGAAGTTCCTTAATCTATTATATTTTTTTGAATCCTTGAGGTGGATAGGACAAGAATTACCATTCCTGTTATTCAGATAAAAAAAAACAACAACAGGAAAACAGAAATAGGCAGCGGAGGCTGTCTAAGGAGAAACAGCTGTAAATGGCCGAGCCGAGAGAATTTAAACCCAGAACTAGGAACTCTAAGTCCTGGTGCTGTCTGCTCTGACTGGTTACCTTTTTCAGTTGTAAACCCAGTATGTGAACAAGTTTCTCGTTGAAAGGGTTAAGGACTATCGGTCACTCACATCTTAGTGTGTGTTAGTTTGATGGCACTGCTGTTCCTCCTCAGTCTGGAGTGAGGGGAGCTACACTGAAGGGATGTTGAGAAAAGTGCAGAGACAAGAGATGTGTGCTTGCTGGGGTGTGATGAGCTGTTTGGTGGAGACTTTTGCCCCAGCCTCCTAACCCAGATCAGAATGTGTCCATTGCTGGATGTCCACAAGCAAGAGCCAAGTTCTGGTTCTGTTCTCCAATGGTAAGTGTGAACCTCAGCTACCCTTAAATTGAGCATTCATTTAGTTAAATTTTTAAGCCCCCTCTCTGTGCTGGGCTTCCAGGCACTTGAGATACATTAGTGCACAAAACGGACAATACTAAGTGTGTGTGGGGATGTGGAGAATCAGGAACTCTCATGCACTACAGGAAAAGGTATAAATGCAACCATTAAAATAAAAAAAAACTGGCAACATCTGCTGAAGCTAAATATATGCCTGTCCTGTGACACAACAATTCTACTTCTACATCCGTGTCCAATAGAAATGAGTGCGCACTCCCGCCTGAAGACGTATATAAGAACGTTCGTAGTAGCTCCATGGTCATATGACCTCCACCACCTCTTGCACTGTTTCTACCTCCATCATTGCCACCATCATCATAACCCCATCACCATCATCACCGAAATTCTACCATCACCACCAATACCTACATAGCAGGTGGTGCCCATAAACATTTAGTCACTGCAACCACCATCTCCCCAAACATCATCCCTGTTACCATTGTGTGTAGTCTGTGTTTACTCACTTGAGAGAATTCAAGATGGGCCCCCAGCCAGCTGTACCCTTCCTTGACCATCGTGCTGCCTGTTCCAACAGCTGGGACGGAGTCCCTTGGTGTCCCCCTCCCCTCTTCACCCCGTTTTGAGCCTGTCCTCTATTCCTAGACTGCACATTTCCCCGGGAGCATTGGGCGCCCATGCTTGAGGGAGGGACAGAGGGAAGGCATGTAGGGAAACAGCATCTGAGGAGCCTGCTGGACCCTGCAGGTGCGCAGCTTTGGGCCTCACTAGAGGGCAGCAGAGTATCGCGCCAACTTGGCCCCAGGGCTCGTCACAAAGGAGGCTTTGTGCAGCGCAGGAGGCTCCTTCTATACATTTTCTCCTGAGCCTGTGCATTGTGGAGGGGCGGGCCAGCGTGGTGTTGCGGAGGGGATCGAGCTGACCCTCAGGAAGTGCTCTTGGGGGCGTGAATAAAAGCAGCGTTGAGCAATCAGGGAACCCTCCCACACATACTCCTGCTCCTGGCTCCGGGCCCTTCAGTCCACTCTCCTCCCTTCAGCCCCAGCCATCCTCCCTGAGAAAACCCTACCCTGATTCCCTGGGGCCTCAGAATAAAGTCTGAAGTCCCCTGGCTATGACTCAAGGCCACTTGGGATTAAGGTCATTTGGTCTCTATCTCCTGCTGAGCCTTCTGATTGCCCATCTCCACTCCTCACACCCACCACCCTCCACTCCTGCATCCTGTGCTCCCGCTCCAGGCTTTCCTAGGCTTCCCTTTGATGCCTGCTTCCCTCTGCTGGGAGCCTTGTTCACTTCTACCTGGTGAGTTTGCCTGCAAGCCTTCCCATCCAAGGAAGGTTTTCCCCGCCACCCCCTACCCACCAGGTCAGGTTCCAGCTGTGTCTTTGTCCCCACAGCCTCCTGGGCTTCAGTCTGTTACAGAGCTGATCACACCGGATTGCTCTTCCCATCTGTCGGGGAGCAGGGACTGTGTTGGCTTCATCCCCAGGGTCTTTGAGCCAGCACAGGGCCCTGCCCATAGTAGGAACTCAACAGATGTTGGTGGGAAGAATGGAAAGAGCCAGGAAGGAGGAAGGGAAGCTGGCGAGAGGGCTGCTGGACGCATCCCTGCTTCCCTCCCTGACCTCCGTCTCTCCTCCCTCCCTTCCTCTCGAGGCTAACCGCAAGCACTCAGCTTCGTGGTGTAAGGATTAATTTAGGGACTCATTTATCACGGAGATCATCAGCTTCTGCCACAAAGCTGCTCTCAAATGAGCCCAGAAGCTGAGTGACACTCCTCTTGGATCCAACTGTCTGCTACAAATTTAGAATTCCTGGAGGGTGGAGGGCAGGCTCCAGTGGGCCCTGGTAAGCCCAGGTGTCCATGTCCCCTGCTCTTTCCAACACATGATGCTGCAGGGCTCGTCCCCATTTGTGAGGTGCAGAGACTGAGGCCCTGCAGGAAGAGGTCGAGCTCAGTCCAGGGCTCACCCTTCCAGACAGCCTTGTACTGGATTGATGTGGAAGATGAGAAAGAAGATCAGCGAGGATGGACTTTCTCCATTTATCACATGACACTCATCTGTCACTGTTTCACTTGTACACCACCCCCCACCCCACCTCGGTAGGGGAAAAGCTAGATGGGTCCAAGGCCTGTTGTGAAATTTTCCAAGCAGAGCTTGCTGTGATCTTTAATTGAAACACCAATGTGGACCATGGGACTCATTTCACAAAATTCTCCAAAGCAGGGACCTTAAGGGATCACTGAATTAACTTCCCTCTGGCCCCCTAGCCCATTTTACAGATGGGAAAACTGAAAGGGGCCAGCATAGGCTGGAGCAGCTGTTGCATTTGTGGTCAAGAGCAGTGATATTTAGGATGAGATGGAAAGAGTCCCAGTAACCCAATGGCACCCCTGAACCACCCCTTAAGTGCCTGGCTCCTCACCCAGCTTCTCTGCTGTATATGGTGGGTACAGGCAGCCACGCCAGGCTTCCTGCTAGACGAAGAGCTTCTTGAGAGTAGGGACCACATCCCCATGCCCAGCAGAGAGCCTGGCACAGAGGCACACCCACTGTCTGTCTGATGAAGGCATGAGGGTCCTGCAAGAGGGAATAAAACTGCCTGAAGCCAAACTTCATCTCTTGGTGAAGATGACCCTCTGTTGGTGGTTGTGAAATCAAAGGACCCAGCGTTGTTGAAAATCCTGTTGTTTCTATCATTTTGACTCTTGTCTCCAGAAACAGAACCAGCTTTCCCCTGAGTCAGTCCACCCACTGCTCACCCGGGAATGACTTACCTATGAGTTGGTTATCTTCCTCTAAAAGCCATACTGTAAATACATAAGGATGTTAAGGGGTGTTAAGGACCATCTCTTGCACAATGATGCCTCATATGTCTGGAACCTTCTGGGTCAGAGGGCTGGGAGTTAATATTTATTGAACTCTGGGTCCTTTTTCTACTTTATTTTAATTAGTTTTCAAAGCCACCCTCTGGAATGAAACTACAATTGTCCCCCTTTTACAGATGAAGAAACTGAGGCTCAGAGATGTTTGGTGACTTGCCCAAGGTCAA